TATTCACATACATTTAGTGTGCGACGAGAGAGGACACCGTGGGATGGAAATCCGGACTAAATGGACTTTGCAAAATTAAATTTTGCGATTTTGTTTTAAAATTCAAGAATTCCTGCTGTCCTGGTAAGAGACCGGGCAAGCGTGGAGACATGCACTGGTCTGGCCGGGCTGTCATTCCTGCCACGTGGGCTCCCTGCGCTGCAGCCACATCAAAACAAATCTCAGGGCTGCAAAAATATACCACAATTATATTTTTAAACAGCTCTGTACTGCATTTTTGCAAGTTTTTGAGTAGTTTTCTCATTTCCCATCTGACATTTACTGGCACGGCATTTCCTGGCACAAGAGCTCTGAACATAACGCCAAGGTATGAACAGCAAATTGGTTCTGAGCAGCAAAAGAGAGCTAGATACAAGCTACTGCTCAGAAAATAACATCAGGAATGGCGTGAAACGGCAGCTAAAATCCAGCCGTTCCCAGCCCAGCGCGTGGCGAATTCCTGCCGCCCGTGGGGCAGGCTAGCGAGGGCTCAGACCTGTTCTGCAGTCATCSTGTTTGCACTGCATTTTCACTTAAACACCTGATGACAGAACTGCTGGAAAATCCGTGGGAAAATGTGACGGTTGACGGGCTGGAAGTGGCGTAAGATCCCCCGGCTCTCAGTAAATGTGGTGGCACGGGGCTGTGCCGTGGAACCTGCGGGACGCTCCCCGCCAAGGTCCTGGCCACCCTCTCCATGGGAAGGGGTTGCTCTGGGGCTCGGACGATGGCTTCTTCTTGCCTAGACCGAGTCTGCCGCGTTCACACACAGCAGTGTCCCTAAATCCGTAGGAGACGCTGGTGTTGGGCACCACGGCTGCAGCTCCCGCTTCAGGAAGCATTGTGGGCACGCTTTCCAAGCACCTAGTACTGCTTAAAAATAAAAAAAAAAAAAAAAAAAAAGGATTTTTCCTATGTGGGAGCAATTAGATGTCCCATTTAGGTGCTGCTTTAAGAAAGCAAGCACAGAATGCAGGCCCTCAAAAACTCCCGATGTCTGGAAGCCCCTCAAGTCGTAGGCACGAGTGTTTCTCCCGATGAAGTCCTGGGGCATCCCGATGACTGCCGGCGAGTGTATGGATGGTGCTGACCCTGTGGGCCTGTGCCAGCTATGCGGTGACTCGCGGATGAGCCGTGCCCTGCTTCTCTCCTCCCCAGAGCCGTTGGAGCGTCTCTGTTGGGCGCAGGCCAGCTGGAAGCACGAGCAGGAGGACGGTCCAAGCCCTGTGCCCAGCATTCCCAATGGAAACCACGGCTCAGCCTTGTGCTTCAACGACTGAAACACATCCTCCACGTATAGGCAGGGGGTCCTGAACCACCTCTTTGCTTTCCCTCCCTATTTCATAGGAATCCTTGAGGTTGGACCTCTAGAGACCATCCAGTGCAACCCCCTGCACACGCAGGGTCACTGGAGCACGTGGCACAGGCTGTGTCCAAGCGGGTCTTGAAGATCTCCAGAGAAGGAGACTCCACAGCCTCTCTGGGCAGCCTGGGCCAGCGCTCAGGCACCCTCACTGATAAGAAATGTTTCCTTAAGTTCCTGCAGAACTCTTGGTGCTTCAGTTTGTGGCCATTTCTGAATATTACCTCCTTCTKAAGATTTCTGAATATTATCTCCTTCTTCGGAGATGTTTCAAACCCGCTTGGCCGCAGCCCTGTGCCCCGTGCTCTGGGTGACCCTGCGTGTGCAGGGGTTGCACTAGGTGACCTCTGAGGTCCCTTCCAACCTGAAGCATTCTGTGATTCTATGATTAGCAATGAGGGAAACCTGTATACCTGGAGAAACCTGCATCTGGGCCTTCCTGCGTTCTTTAGGAAGGGAAGGGAAGGATGTGTGTGCGGAGAGGAGGGATCAGAGCAGGTCCCTCACACCTGCACATGTGGCTGARCCTCTTGGATGCTCCCAGGTGGAGGCTGGGAGCTCTGCTTGGCCCCTACGTGTGCCGGCCAGGAAGGTCTGGCCGTGGCACCGTGTCACGCCGGGGACCGCGCGCCTTGYGAGCGGCGCGGGGAGCCGTGTCCTCGGGGACAGCCCGTGCACGGGGCCGGGGCCGGGTGACAAAGCCACGCAGCAGCGCGGGCTCATGCCCCGGCTGTCTGCAACGAGGCTCCGGCTCTGCACAGAACGCTTTAACCACTGGGCACCATTGCAGGGGAGTCGCCAACAACGTGAGCCAGGGCCACGAAAGGCAGACTCGAGTTCAGGATGTATTTCCTGCACTCGCACATGCACGCAGAATCACAGAAGCACAGACTGTTCAAGGTTGGAAGGGACCTCTGGAGACCATCGAGTCCAACCTTCCTGCTCAAGCAGGCACACCTAGAGCATGTGGCACAGGGCGGCATCCAGGCGGGTTTGGAAGACCTCCAGACACCACACGATGCAATGTAAGCTCTAGGAGATCCATACATTCATATTCCATGATGTTCTAGAGAGAAAGGAGTCGGAAGCAAGAGAAAACCATAACCTTAAAATGAAAAATGCAAGAAGGCAGCTGGACTTGTTAATAGGTGAGAAAATACCACTGAATCAGTTGTTACCTCTGCGTGTTGGTGCAGGCAGAGGAACATATCTTGGATATTCTTCTTCACCATCAGACCATGAAAACATATTTTTTAAAAAACAAAATCACTTATTAAGATGAAGTTCTCTTCTATCACAGTAGCTTCCCACTGAGTGATGGGACTCTCCACTCTGGGATGCCTGAARCACCAGGACGGGGCCCATGTGCCATCATCACATGGGAAAAGACTGAAGTCTGAAAAAAAGACTTTTAACGTGATCCCTATGAACATCAGCCCCAGGTTATTATCCACAAGGACAACAGCAGTAAGCAAGCAAAATCCCTCTCCTTCCYGTGAGCTTCTATTTTGACTTCTTTTGACCAAAAGCAGCGTGGAGGGGTCAGTGCGACCTGCTCTGCTGAGACCCCGGGTTCCTCCCATGCAGGTTCTTGAAGCAGTAGATGGGGTAGGGGATTTAAAATATATTCTGTGGTAATCACCTCATTTCTTGACTATGCAAGTAACTGCTGACCGGTTTTGCAGTGTGCTGGCATTTAGTTCACAATAGGTCTGTACCTATATGTGTCACATAGAGATGGAAATGCACTTACTGTTAACAGGGATCTTTTCCGATACAGATGCAGAGTGACGTGTGCTCTAAGCGCTATATTCGTAATATCTAACCCTAAGAGCATCATGGCACTGGAGACTAAGATGGAAACTGGTCATTCATGATTTTCAGATCTCACTTTCCTCTACAGTAAGCAGAGTAAATGAGCACTGATGCATCACAGGAGCTTCGTCTAAACAACCATGATGATCCGTGTCCTATTTTTCCTGAATTCTTTGGATTTCTTTGAGGAAAGGCAGTCTACCTTCCTAGCAAGAGATCCTCCTTCTAGGGTGGTCTCCATTCAGTGTGGTTGGTTCCTATGGTCTCATTAGGTGTCCCTGCAGCTGCTGGCCTAAGGGGCTGCTTGTGGTGTTGGAGGAATTTAAGAGTTTTCTTCCATAGCATAGCAGAGAGAGAAAACTGCATCTTAAAATTATTCATAGCAGAGAGGGCTTTCTAGAGAAGTAAAGAGGACAAGGTATTTACCATAAACAAAATGCTCTCTGCTACGAAGACAGACCAGACAAAAATGCACATTTTCGTCCATCGCCTGCACGTGGCCAGGACACAGGGGGTAGCACCTTGTTTGGGCTGAGCTTTGCAGAGAAGCATCTTGTCATAGTTAGTTGTCCCAGGAAAGGCAACTGGAAAGGAAATTATTTAACGTACAATAACAGCAAAGGTGTCTTAAACATCAGCTCTGAGGAGTGAGATGGATAGTTTTGGTGTAGCTGGATCATATGAGATGCTCATGAGGCTGTAAGAAAAGCRAAGTGAAATTGCAGGGGATTGTTTAATAGCAACAGAGCACATAATTCTTGCCAATAATCAGCCCTGATTTTAATTACAGCGAAGCAAGTTTTATAGGCGGCATTTTGTTAGAGCAAATGATCTATCTGGGACAAGAAAATGACAAGCTTTTTGGTTCACAAGCCCCTCTGTACACAGAAAATAGGAGAATCAGATTTCAAGCTTTAGCTTCTATTTAATGAATTCAGATTAGTGGTTGGTTAGACCAGACACAAATATTTATTTCATTTTCAAATAGCAAATATTGTGAGAGGAAGTACTGAGTCGGGAGTAAGCAGACGTTTCCTAGTTTTGGTTAAATGCTTTTAAAATGTCTTTATAAAATACAGGAAGAGTGAGGGCTTCATTTTCTCGCTAATGTTATGTTTTCAGTGCAGGCAAGATAAGAAGAACTCTTTCTATTCTTGCCCAAACTACTCATGCAACAAAACTCTTATCTTAAAAAKACATTGACAGGAACAGTTAACACACTGTATAATTAAAGCAATAAATTAATTACCAGGCTTCCCTGGTGACTATTAAACACTTGAGGCAAAAGAGCTGTCTTTTGCTCCTTGTTGAAGGATTATTGCTGTCTAGCTTGAACGTTTGCTTGAACAATTTAGGACACTTTCTCCCATGCCAATGCACGGGCGCAAAATGCCTAGCACTTATAGGGGTGCAGAAGTTGTTTGAGCAGTTTTGCTAACACGGTTGTTACTTGATAGCTGCAACATCCCAGCACGCTGCATGAAGCGGCCAGGTTACATATTGTGACTGGRAGAAGCATGAGTCAGAGCAAACTGGTTTCCAGCAAGGAATGTGTTTTGCTTTATCATCAGCAAACTTCTCACCAAGGTGATTACTAGCAACACCTGACCTGAGAAGTGATGTAATGCCAAATGCTAATTAAGACTTAATATCTGATCGGCAAAASCTGTAGGCCTCTCCGGTTACACCCAGAAGATACAAGAAGGAAGCTGGATTAACAGGCAGGAACAGCTTTTGTAGGGGGAGAAGAAAAGTGGAGTGTTTCAGTGGTCTCCTGAAAAGCGAGCCCTGTGGAAAAGGCACTTCTTCAAATCAGTGTGGTGGGTACTTGTGTTTGCAGTGTTGTCTTCTGCTTCAAACTCGGGGGGTTGAAAGAAAAAGTTTACTCCCTTTGTTTTCCTTTCAGGATTTGGCTATATGCTTCTATTGTAAAATATATTTCACTGCAGTTCCCTGCCTCTTGTAAGGTAGTAAGATTCCCATAGTCCATGAGCATCTCTTAAGTTTCTAGTATAACCTATACAGAATTTTTAAAATATGWCTTTTAGTTTGATATAGACTTATATTCCTTATTCTTCTTTCTGGCTCTTATTCCTATTCTTATTTCCTATTTGAAAGCCCCTTAAATGGCTGCACTAAAAGATAAGGAAATATGAAATTACACTGTTTGCAATAATTTCATATCTATATTTGGCTCTATATGAGATCTTAGTGGAGAAAAAGCCAGAACCTGGAAACTATTGGATGCTGCTTTTTAGATTATGTGGCATCTAACAGGTTATTATGTCAAAAYTGCCAAAATGACATTTTGCTGCATTTACAGAATCACATATTTCCTAATATACCCCAATAGGCCAACTGCCTTACTCGTGCAAACGCACAGCTGAGCTTTGAGGGACAGCCTATACCAAAACTTTTTTAATTACTTTGMGGATGTTACTGATCTCCCCTTTAATTAAGGTACAAATTATACATTTGAATAATGACATTAAAGCATAGCCTAACGGGGCAAGCTCCAAGAGCTGAAGATTGCCCTTGCATTCATAAGCTCAGCTGGGTATCCTGTGCRTAAACGTATACGTGTCCTATAAGCGGTGTGTGTTGGAGGAGGCAAATCAAGGCTGGGTGAGGAGTGATGAGTCCAAGGGCAGGACCAGGTCTCCAACGTGGATGATGTGTCCGTTCCCTTTCRTTTAGGACAGCTATACGCAGTGCCTATAGGCGCAGTGTTGTCTCATGGCCTCTGTTKTGTCCCATTTTACTTAAGCACTAAAAGCACATGGGGTGTCAGGGCTGGAGGCTGCCCCCCGTGAGCAGGGAGCCTGGTTAGATGGTGGTTGATGCTAGGGGTGTCCTGAAGATCCCACCACCAAGGTTAGCTCCTCAGGTCCTCCCCGAGGCAGGCGGGCATCACCCACGGCAGGGAACGGAGAGCACGCGGAAGGGAAACGGTGTCACACCGAGAACATGGAATATCGCAGCCTGCCTTGGGAGGACTTTGGAGCCGGGYGCTGCCTTCCTCCCGTTGGCTGCCCAGCAGGAGCCATCGCCCTCGGCACACCTGGCCTGCGGGCAGAGAAAAGCGGCAGTCTCTCCTTCTAACTTTTAATAAGTGAATCATTATTAAGACCCGCGRTCCTTTTTATTAATATTAAAAGGAAAGAACGGGAGAAACACACACACACACACCCCGTTTGCGCGGCGTTTGGGGCGCGGCCTCCCCTCAGGGCCGCCCCGCCGCAGGTGAGGCCCGCGGGGGCGGCGCGGCAAGGCGGCCCCGGGCGGGCCGGGCCGGGCCGCGGGAGCCGCTGCGGTGCGAGCCCGCTGCGGGTGGCAGCCGGGCTGAGCGGCCCCTGCTCGGGCCGCCCGCGGCTCCGCGGCCATCTCGTGCTCCTCGCTGACCCGGCTCTTCCCCGCAGGCAGCCGCCCGCCCGGAGGGAGCGCCGGCCGCGCTTAGCATGTCCTCCCCGCCCGGAGGTGAGTCCCTAAACGGGGAGATTTCGGGAAAAGCCGCGGCCCTTCGGCCCCTCACACCGCGTGCATGACAGAGTGGAAGGGCCACATGCGGTTCCCCCTCCTTAGGGGGTACCTGTGGTGCCCAGTGAGCCCCAAACCCGAGGTGTTCCTCCCCAGCCGCTCGGCTCGTGCTCGGGGTAATTGCAATTAAACWGATTAATTCCACTTAGAACAGCTCCCCCCGTTACATAAACGAGTGTCTAACCCAGCCCTCGCAGAGAGGAGGACCTGCTCTGCAGGCAGTTGGCTTTAAAAGTCTGTGCAAACTGAAAATCTTACTAAAACACTTCTCAGGTTATTTTTATTTTTACCTTCTGTGGCATATCTGACTTAGTTTTTGTGTCTATATTTATATGTGTGCATGTGTGGTGTCTCTGGGTGTAATGCAGCTGAATGGCAGCGTGGATAAGGTGTGCACAGAGGTGAGCTTGGAAAGGGAATCCCGCAGGTGGGAAGGAAAATGGAGCTGCYGGCAATGCTGCTGAGTTTCCTCTGGAAAGGAGCTTCAATGGAAGGCTGTTTTCTTCCAAACTATGGGKTTTTTTGTTGCTGCTGTTTGTGGGTTTTTGKTTTTTTTGCCYTTTTTTAATCTACCRTGGAAAGATGTTTGCAGTAGATCTGCAGTTGTCATGATCAYGGCCTTCCATCTGCTTCTCTCTGGCCATGACACAGCTTGTCACGAAGACCGTGGCCATGCACTTCTTTCTAAGTAATAGTAGAATAATGTAGATATTGCTATATAGTGAACTTTACTCAGAATAACGCTATTTTGGGTGTATATTGGGGTGTTCCTCCTATAAGCAAGAGCGGTGCTTTCCTGCATGGAAACTCTATAGCAAGGGACCCTTTGTAGGCCAAAGCAGAAATACGCTTTTATACTCACAAAAACACAACGTTCCTGTGTGTTTTCACACTTACGTTGACAAGCTAAGGTCTRTCTGGGGCAGGGGGGATCCAGCTTGTTTGACAGGGCACAGAAAGCTGGGTGCTGATGCAGGGGGACGGGGGGATGTTTCTGCAAACATTAACCCCCTTAAAGCAGGGTTTCTAACCAGGGAATCTGTTCACCCATCTAAGAGCAATAGGTGAGTTTGTCATTTTTTAAAAAGATTTTTTTTGTTTGTTTGCTAGTGAAGTACAGAGAGTATTTATGTGCTGCAGGAAGCCAGAGCCATGATGCCATCTCCAAGCTTTGTGGAAGGTTGTGTTAAAGGCTTTAGAGCCCTGCTCTGCTGACACCTCCTCCCCCTGCAAGGACAGACGTGCCAAAAAGGAGTATTTAGTTGTGCAAACTCCCGCTCCCTCCCTCTGGCATCAGGGCTTTTTGCCTCAGGTGGAGATTGGGGCCSCTACTGCTCTGTTTTCTTGGCTCAACTTGTGCAGAGCTGGAAAAACAACTCAATTCCTGGGATTTTTCTTTTGAGGGCAGGTAGAGATTTCAGCCTGAATTATCTTGGGCCAAAGGGATAACTGATCCCAAATTGCCCTTGTTTAGGGGTTAACTATTTAAGCTCACTCTTAGATGGCAAGGGAAGGGGGGAGGAAGGAAAACAGCTACCCTGGAGAAAAAACAATTTTGTAAGTTATTTGTCTCTTTGGTGGTAAGCATCTCATGTATCCATGGAAAACTTAATTATGCCATGACTGTAYGCATGCAGAATTCCCATTTTATCCTCTGATCTGGATAACTCACTATATAGAAAAATGAGAGACAAATTGGAGTTTATGCTTTTATCCTTATACAAGAATATACTTTTTTCTTGCTTGAGGGCTTGAGATCAAAGCCCAGTGTCAGTATCCAAATTTTCTGTTCAAGTAGAAATTATGATCAGAAAATTGGTTCTTAGTTTCTCCAGCCTTTGATGAGAACTGCTTGCACTCCTCCTAGGTGAGTAGAGAAAGCTGGAAAGGGGCTAGCGAGGACTTTTATTGCTCTTTTAATTTGTAAATCTCCTAAGAATTAGACTTCTAAATAACAGCCCAGGGGCACTTAAACTTTGTGCGGTGAATTTCTTTATATTTATTTATAGTTAATTTCTAATTTAGTCTGCTGCTGTTGTCTGCTGGGGACACRTGTTAACATAAATTGAAAATACCTCTGGTCTTGATGAGCTGCTGCTGATTCACCTGGGCAGTTACATAAACAAAGTCCACGCAGCTCTTTGTGGCAATGAGAGCCTTCCTCTATTACAGCAATAAATATTTCAAGGTCCCTAATTATATTTTATTAGAAAATGATTTAATTAAGAAGTGTGCTAGATTGAGTGAGCTTCCTGTGTCCTAATGTATTGCAGCACTAACAAGTCGGATTGTTATTACTGAGTGAAGCTGAGTGAAAAATGGTCAAGTTTAAAGACTTGGGATTTCTGCAGCTTAAGAAAATAACTTACAATAATATTTCATTTTAAAATAATAGGCTTTGTAAAAACGAAGCACTTTCTCTTGCAAGTTTTGAGCCGATGCACAGTGTCTCTGCTGTGTGATAAGCCTTTATTACTCTTCTGTGCTGGTTTTAATTAGTTTCAAATGCCTCCAAGGTGCTTGCTAAAGCCCAGCCTGTCCTGTGTGGGGTTGCTGTGCCCGCTTACACCGGGAGCGGGTCCGTGTGTCCGTCGGGATGCACGTAGCACACTGCAGTAATGCAGCTGACACTGGATGTCACCATTGCACAGCGCAAACGCGGCTGAGGGTGCGTGGGACCCTCCGCTCGAGCAGGGCATAGGGAGCACAGCCTGGTGCCCTGAAGGGGCTCACGGCCTCGGAAGGATCCACTGCTGAAATTACACTGGGATGTGAAGCGAGTGGTTCCTTACTGCACAGACCCAGGTCTGGGCTAAACTCACTGCGGGTGGTGAGATCGCTGTGGAGAGTTTAACTGGTTTATGGCAAAGGCCTTGTTTTGTCCTTGGTTAAATTATGTGCACGTGAAGAGTGTTCACGTACTCACAGCTCTGGAGAATCTCTGGCCTTAGGATTTCTGAGATAACACGAGACTGCGGGCTAGCTYGCTAGTAAAAAGCAATTGAATTCTTCAGCCAAAATAATATGTGAATATATTGCTTTTCCCATCTATTAAAAAGAAAAGTATGTACTACTTAAGAAAATGCTCCATGTTCAAGACTTTTAATTTGTCCTTTAAGATTGAAATACCTCCCTGACTCCAGCATGTCTTTGAAGTGGTATTAAGTGGAATGGAATCATGGAATTATTCCCTGTACCTGCATAATAAAGCAAACTTTGCTCTTCATTTGTACAGAAAAGAAAAGCGCACGTATAGTGACAACGACTCTCCTGCTCACTGAACATATAACGAGGGAGGACCGAGGCTCCGAGGGAAATTATCTCCTCTATGGATCCTCTTGTGCCCAAATCACAGAAGAAGCTGAATACGTGAAAAAGGTATTTTTGAAGTAGTTGTTCTGTTCCTTTCTCTGGTTTTATAGAAAACATGCTAAGCAGCACTAATAACTACTGCAAAAAACTTCATATTGCCATAAGGGTCAGAATTATCTGAAAAACCTTCCGTTTATGCATTTATTCTAGGAACACTGTTTACCCTGTGTTAACAGCTTAATTACAGCATGTGCTGTCTTAGCTTGGGTTAAACCCCTTTGAAATTGGGGAGGTTTTTCCGGCCCTCATCTAGGACTGTTGCAGGAGACACCTAAGTACCTGTCCCCACCCCGACTCATGTGTGGACAGAGGCAGCACTGGGGACCATTTGCTTGAAACATCCTGACACCTGGACGCATCAGGTTGTTGCTGCAGGTTCAAATGGTCAGGTTGTAGCTTCTGCAGCTGAAGCTCTGAGGTGTCTCGTAGGGTGACAGGTGAGCACGTGGATAGCAGGCTAAYGACCACACTGTCAATCAGAAGTCTAACAGGAATGTGGTATCTTAGGGCAAAAGATAGGAAGGTGGAAGTGGATAAATATGTAACACTGAAAGCTCTGCAGCATTAAGGTTTAAAACTGATAAGAGCAGAATACTGTGAGATGTGATTCGGGAGAAGATATATCTAAAGCTGCTGCTCARGCTGCCAGGCAGTTTGAAGAGCGCTCTGGCACAGTGCATACCAATGCACTTGCATGTTCGTATTTGAAGCAGTTTGATAGATAATGTCAGTGTTGAACTGAAGGGCTGAGCCAGGTCCCTGGAAAAGATTAGAAGGGCTCGAGCTGTCAGGGAGCAGCCTTCTCCAAAGCAGAAATAGTGGTTTGAGGTACGTGGAGGAACAGCACCGTGGTAGGTGGGGAAGGCAGCCCCAGAGGAGTCAGTGGGCAAGAGCTGCAGCAGTCCTGAGGAAAGTGGAAATGATCTTGCTACTTTCCTCAGTCTGGAGGAAATGTGGGCAGAATGTAGCTTAGAGTGCCTTTGATGAGCAAGGAACAAGTTAAGAAATGCCTTACTCCATTATGGGCTATGCAGTCCAGAGAAGAGGGCCTCAGGCTTTGATTTAAACCAAAAGGAACCATTTTCTTCCTCTTCATAATTACATATGTGAAGTTGTAGAATGAATACTGTATCTTTGAATCTAGAAACCTTAGCATGGATATTTATATTTGAAAGCATTAACATGTCAATCCTGATAAATAACTACAGTCCTTTCTTCGCAATGTTATTTCACAAGATTAATTAGCTTTTAGAATATTGCAGCACATGCAACACAACCCAAAATCTTGTAGATGAAGCAATTACTGAGAAAAAGATATATTCTGTGGTGGTGAGCCTGATTCCTGAAGGTCTAATGAGCTGATGTGCTCTCTGTGTTGAGATGGACAGTGTAGTGAATAGGYAGAACTTGCATCTCTTTCCTAGGAGATCTTGTGAGCCGGGAGACTCGSGTTAGCAGGGTCTGATATCCTATTCCTTTCTCTAAACAATGGTGATCTATAGAACCATAGAATCCATAAATGTGCAAAGGCAGCTTTTCTGCATCCCAGCTGAGCTCGGAAGAGCACTAAAGTATGGCCAACAAGAAGAACCAGTGGGCTGTGTAGGAGTTTTTGTGTTTTTAGGGCTTAATAAGGTAGAGAGCTTAGTGAAAGTAGATGATATAGTATAGTATAGGGCTTAGGGCATGGCGCTCGGAAGATCTCGCGATGTCACGGGAGTTAGGAGCATAACTAATTTAGGCAGTTTACTGATAACCCCATGCCATACAAGGTGAAAAGTTGAAATTAGTCTCCCGATTGGGCAGTAGGTGAGTTTACGCATTTCAAATGGAGTATATAGGCAGACTGAACTACTCAATAATCGCCGTTTTTGTCGCATGCCCCATAGCGGTATCTGTGCTCCAGGGCCCTGGGGTGAGGACAACCCCAGGTCAGTCCAGCTGGCGAACAAGGCTTGCCGACCCCCGTCAGCAACAGGGCTGAAATCCTGCTAATTTAGAAATAATCACAAAAAGTTCTATTAAAAATAAATCCAACTCCTTTTTTATCTGTTCAGTTGAGGAATGAGGTTGAAGAAAAGCCTCTATGGTGAAAAGAAATGGAGAAAATATGCGGATAGAATCAGCATCTAGCAGACAGCAGGCACGTTGCTGAAACCRTTTTTCCACAAGTGTTCACTAGTGTGTGCTCATTGCTTCCTATATGTCTGTTTTGAAACCTTATATATGCAAGAAATATGACCTTCCATCAATCAGGTTTATGCCGGCATGCCCTACTGTATAGGTATGGCCTTTCTTTATATCAGGTTCATTTGTTAAAAATAAGCTATTAAAAATAAAGAATAATCTCTGTTTTAAAGGGTTCTAAGCAGGAAAAAAAAACCCCACTTTCTATTCACTTCAATTTTCCTTGGATTTCCTTGCCAACATCAAACCATTGTTCCAAAGAGACAGTCMTTAGGCAGAAAATGGATTCAGGAATGTCGGAATGTTTTGTTGAAACAGTTAAAGTATGTTGGGAGAAATAAATAGCTGAAAAGTTCTTTTAATGGGAAGTGTTGGGTAACGATTAATAAAGGGCATTTCTKCAGCCTCACCTCTAATACAGCATGTGCTGCAATATTCTAAAAGCTAATTAATCTTGTGAAATAACATTGCGAAGAAAGGACTGTAGTTATTTATCAGGATTGACATGTTAATGCTTTCAAATATAAAGCCCCGGAGAGCTGAACAAACAGAACGCTGTAATTTCTCTCAATTTATTGAGCCTGGTGAAACTGTTGTGACTGTTGCTATGTACGTGGTTTAGGTTTTGTGAAGAGCTCAGCTGTGGAGTTGAAACTTCTACTCCTTCTGTGGAGGAATCGAGGGTTATTAATAAGAAACAAGACTTTTTAGGGTGGCAGCTTTGAATGCAGGTTGTTAAAGCTATTTTTTTTTTAGTATTTTTAAAATGATTGCCATGTGCATTTCCTTTATCAGCTTCCTGAAATCTCGGGCAATAAAGTGGAGTCAAAGAACAGTATGTCTGGCTCCAGCTACWGTCCCGTTGTGGCCAAGATGAAAGAAACGGAACAGCAGCTCTTGCTGGTGAGCAAGGAGAATCAAGTACTAAAGATCAAGGTGAGTCCCAGGGGGTTTTACAGGCTTCCAGWGAGTATCTCTGTCCTGCAACCCAATGGGCATTTACTCCTGATTCCGCAGGAGTTAGTTGAAATAGAAAAGTGCCTATTTTGGTACCGCTTTGCCAGGTTCTCTCCTTACGGAGAGAGAGCAGACCAGCTAGTACAAACTGTTTCATCCCAGTAGACAGGGAAATTCATACTGAAATCTGCTCCTAAGGACATATTTGATTTTTGGGTAGCAAGATGACATTGCCAGCTCTGTTGATAGCTGACAGCAGATGTATTTACAAGCAGTTGGAAGTACATCCCTCCTTTTTAAATCATAATTTGTACAGAATGGCTCAGTACTGAATAAATTTGCCTTTATTTGGAAACGAAAATGCCTGTCAGATCCCTGTTCACATTCATGGCTTTGTTCACAGGTATTTAGGAGGGTTTTTTTAACAAGGGTATGTATTGAAATTTGATGTAGTACAGAGKGCTTATTGTTTGGCATCTAATTAATTATTGCATGGCTTTTATTAAAGCACAATGTCTGCTTTTTGCACAATTACTCTTTCTAGCTGGAAGCTACAAGAGAAGCAGGTGTCCAGGCTCTCAGATCTGCCTCCCAGAAGCTGTATGAGAATTACCACACTGGCTTAGAAGAACTTAGAAAAAGGCATGAGAAGGAAAAGAAGCAAATACAGGTACAAAACCCCCACAGGTAGGGATGGCAACGCTGGCAGTGCCAAAGCATTCCATTCGAGAGAAAGAGAGATTTTTCTTTTCTCCCCTCATTTGGGGTTACATATAAATGTGTTTCAAACCTGAACAACTTCAGGAGCTCTTCACTTTTAGTGGGTAATGTTATGGGTCAAGTCATCTGAAGGTATTTTTCATAGTACTTTCTTACAAGTTTCTTAGGTTATTGTGGAGTCGCATCATGCCAGTAGGTGGTTCTGCAAAGCGGAGTTTCTTATGTGGGCTGTGGCTCTGTGCTGCATATCTTATATCTAAGAGCTCCAGTGTCTGCTTGTGCAGTATGGAAAATTAAATATTTATTTTGGTTTTATTTTTTGATCCTTTGAATTGGGTTTGTAGAATTGGCTCAAAGTTAGACCATGGCATTCCCRTCATTTTTACCCTTTCCCTGTACTCGCAGTGTAGAAAAGAAGTGTGCTTCTGACTAAAGGTGGTGGGGATGTTTTACAGGGCTTAGCAATGAGGCTAAGTCGTGTYGACTGTGGGAGTGTGGAGGAACCAAGAAGACTAGGACACTGTTAGCTGGAATTGGGAAGCATCTTCTTGCTGCAAAACTGGCCTCATTTGGAGGGGCTGTGTGATTAAAATCTGACCTCTGTGAGCGCCAGGGATGTACAGGGAAGGGCTGAGGAAAGGGAAGGGGTGGATGGGGGAAGGAAGGGAAGAGGCTCCTGCTCACTAAGCACCCGCTGGGTGCGGTGTGCCTGGCTAATGCCCTGTGCTGCTCCCTGTGTGCCAGGGTGAGGGCCCTGTCCTTGTGTGCAGGGGGATGAGGCTGCCCGTGCTCGTGGTGCTGCCCTGCCCGTCGTGCCCRCATTGACAGCAGCCCCGCAGAGCCACAACATACGTGGCTGCGGGGATGAGCGCCGAGGCTCCCTGCCAGGCCAGGGTGCTGCTGCCACGGCCTCTCCTCGTGCTCTGCCACGTCGCCAGCTCCCGACACGCACCCCTCTGTGCCCTTTCCACCGCAGGCCTCCAACCTGGAGCAGGAGCGAAAGCTGCAGCAGGACACGGAGCACGCCCGGCGCCTCGCCGAGGGCATCACCGAGAAGTGCGCGCAGCTCTCGGAGATGGAGAAACGCGTGCAGAGGATGGAGGAGGTGGGTCCGGGGAGCCCTCGGGAGCAGCAGGGYGCCTGGGCAGGGACCTCCCCTCGCCTGCGCGCTGCCCAGGGCTGCAGACACCCGCCTTGCTGAGCAGGGAGCGCTCACGGAGCAGCCGAGGGGCTCCCGGGAGAGCCTGGCTCTTCCTGTTACTGCTCGGATGGTTCCTGAGCTGGACCGAGCAGCTGTGTGGAAGATGGGGCTTGGTCTGTTGAAAAGAGGAGTTAATTGGTCGCAGTTTTGAGGGCAAATTAAGTGTTGGAATGAGAGCTGAAGTGACTTTTATCATGTAGCAAAAAAGAATTCCACTCCTTTATGGTGAATTTACTCAAGGGGTTTTAGCTGATTTGCAAGAACTGATGGTATCATGCATAATTTTCCTGATGTGTGCACTGAATAGCAGTGGGAATTATTGTACTGGAAGTCCCATTCTAAAACTAAATATTCCCTGGGCTTACTGTAAGTGCCAGGTCAGTGAATGTGATACCTACATGTAGCTTAGATTAAAGCTGTTAAACGTGGAATAGGGTGCATCTTCCCAAACAAGCAGCCTACCCTGAGCTGGAAGCTGAAGGAATGTAACTAAGACACCGTGGAGTACAACGGAGGAGAAGCAAAGCTCAGGGATGCCTTCTCCCTCTGAACGTGCGAGCTACCAGCAGCAGATGCTGCTTAACGCTGGCTTTGTGCTGCCTCTGGCAGCAGCTTGTGTCAGGATCTGATCGATGGGCAAGGCAGCACCCGAGAACAAAGTGGTTTTGTGCAGTAACAGAGCCAAAGGTAGATACTGGCTGCATAGGTAAACATGTCCAAGAACAAAATCTGACTCTTAGCTCCTGTATCTAGTGGGTTTTGTGATGCATTGAATGTCGGAATGCTTTTTCCTTGGCAGGGGCCACCTTTTTTAGTCTGAAAAGATGGGTTGTAGGATGGCTCATTGGCTCATGCTCCTGGTGTCTAGGGGTCAGAGTCCTGTAGCTGCAAAGGGAYGGCCTAGGAAAGGAGGAGTAGTTTGTGGTGTTATTGGTGTGAARACAGCTTATATAGTTGGAAAGTTTACGTTATAGTTTATACGGTGGGAAAAATGCCATGGTTTGAGACYTGGAATTATCTTCTATTTCTTAACAGTAACAGAATGCGCTCTCCTTGTTACACCTGCCCGTGTCAGGCCTTTTGATAGGCAGTAATGCATCCTGAAATGGAATCAATCAAATAGGACATAAACTTACCCAGATTTTGAGAATGTGTAATTTGCATTTGGGAGTAGTAAATGTACCTTGACTCCTTAAATGCTAGAAGACACGTTTCACTTCTCTATTTAAACTGCACAGATCTTTTTCTTCTGTGTATGAGACGTGCTGATTTCAGCGGCACTGAGCACAGASCAGTGAGCAGTTCAGTCAGAATTAGCTGCTGGGATCCATCACTGCATCCATGGGTTTCTGGAAGTCAAGTGTTAGGAAAAGATTCTTTTGAACCACAGAACGTGGGACATGACAACAAAATGCAGCATCCACTGGCTGCTGAGCAAAATCACAAGATCGAAACTTTAAAGTAATGCATTGTTGTCCCTTTCTACATCAATTCRGTGATCAAACTGTTCTGTGTGTAAAGCTGATGGAGATGGAAGTCCATATATAGATGATTATTGCTGAATTCTGTTTATTGTCAGGTAGTGATCAAATATTTAGTCATCCCTTTCTTGCTACTCAGGTGATAGGAAGTGCTCTGTTGTTCTTACATAACTGCAATTGTTCCCGTAGGAGAAGAMGACTCTGATGGAGAGGAAGCTGTCACTGGAGCAGATGCTTCTACAGATGATGTCAAAGAAAGAAGACAGCAAACGGTGCTTGAATGCCTGTGGTTGTGGTGCCTTTTGTGGGGGAGTATTCCTTATGGGGCACCAGACGAGGGCTTGCTCAGGTTGCTTTTGGGGAGTAAAATGATTCATGTTGTGAAAACCTGAATTTAGAAAACAACAACAAACCAACAAAAAATCATATCCCAGAATCACAGARTGKTMRAGGTTGGAAGGGACCTCTGCAGATCATCTAGTCCAACCCCCTGCTCCAGCAGGGACACCTGGATCGTGGTGTACTGAATCTTGAAGATACTGATTCTTCTCRAGCTTCACTACCTAGTACACTTTCTTCTGTCTTGCACGTACCAGTTGCTTCTCATTCTTGCTTGAAGCGGTTGAAGCTGCAGATCCTGCAGCAAGGAGGCAGCCAGGAACCTCTCTCTCCATCCTGTTGCTGTCACGAACCTTCAAGGCTGCCTCATCTCATCTTTGAGCCACTCCACTTGCTTGCAAAGTTGATCCTGTCCCAAATTGCTCTGAGGTTAGACAGGGAGCATCATTAATCTCGCCCAACAGGGCGCTGCCTCCCGCTGGGATTTGTGCTCTAGTAGCAGAGCATCACGTCRGTAACAAACAGGAGCTGGTGCTGAGTGGAAGGGATGTGTGAATCACACCGTGTCCTCCCCTGTGTTGACAACCTGGGAGGATTTCCCCCTTCCTTTACACGCTCTGTATCTCTACCTTCACCGGCTGGCACCAGTGGGAAGCTAAAAGACTTCCTGAGTTGCTGGCGTTTCCCTGCTGGAGTCCCCTGAGCGGTGAYGTTGTCCTGGGACTGTCACCTTCGTGTGCAGGGCAGCCTGTGCCAGCCGCCTCGGTTGGGGCAGGCATGGTTTATTTCAAGCGTTCACTGTATTCACCTAACAAACGCTTAATGCTCGTTTTTACTCGCCGCATCTTCAGTTGGAGGGCTGTCTGCTGCAGAACGGGCCGTCCCTTTTCAACAGGGACATGTTCCTCAGGGGCTGTCATTCCATAGTGCTTCGGAGTGGCTTTAAGCAGCCCTGGCCTTGAGAGTAAGGGCTCCCTCTTTAGCTCAGGGGTATTACTCCAAAGCACATTTATTTGGCTGCAGTGAGAGGAACAAAACACTGCTGCTCTCTATCCTTTTCTGCTTATTTTGGGTGTAACAAGATCTCTTCTCCTTTATCAGTATCTCTTCTCCTTTATCAGACAGTTTGATGTGTTTKTGGATCCTCTCATTTGTGAATTCAATTTTTGAAGTTATTCATGAATTTTCTTATTAACAGTTAGTRAAGACAGAGGATGGTCTTAACCAGTAAAGCTGTCTCAGTCCATGGTTTATTTGTTCTGCTCAGTAAAGAAATCTTTTTTTAATGTGTGTTTATAAATGAGGATACAGGGCTGTGACTGAGTTGCACTCAGCATCCTTGCTAGCTGCAGGCTGCTGGGTACAGCCTGATGTGGGAAAACTCGGTGGTGTAAAGGTGCTAAAAGCCCCGTTCAGCCAACGCCTGGGGAGGAGGCAGCTAACAGGGTGCTGTGCTTTCCCCTCTCCAGGTGCAYGGCTCTTCAGCTGGAGATTTCCACCCTGCAGGAGCAGATCAGCCACCTGCAGCGCCTGATCCAGGCCCAGCACCAGAACCTGCGCCCCGTCATCCAGGAGGTCAGGAGAGGCTGCTGCAGGGGCTGGGTCCCTCCCCCGTTTGGAAAAACAGCACCGGAGACTTGGTTTTGTGCTCGCCCATCGTGTTCTGCCTGGGTTTGCACACCCTGCATTTGAGTTAGTTTTGGCCCTTCATTTCAAAGGGAAAGGGCATCACTCTAAAAATGGGGTTATTGTGGTGGTGTCAGACGGGACTGTTAGAATCTGCCTGCCAGCCACCTGAAGGGGTTGGGAAACAAGCCTGGTGTTTAGGAAAAGGGAAATTGCCCCCATTTTTCGGGCWTAGTGAAGCTGGAGCAGCTGATTTCCAACCTGCTGAGGCAGGTGGTAAAACCTGGCTGTGACAGAGCTGCCCCATCCCGGGTGTCCCAGCTCCTGCAGGGCCCTTGAACGCCGCTTGTCGGGCGCTCCCGGCGGGCTCTGCTCGCTGCCCGTGGTACACAAACGGCCTTACGCCCCTTGTGTTAACCACATGGATCCACTTTCACCAGCCCAGCGAACAGGTTCAGGTACTGGGGGGAATATGACAAATGTTAAAGCAATTAAACTGCTTTGCAAAGTAACCCTGTAACGTGAGCTGCTCTTACTGACAGTGTTAACCTGTGCTGTGCACTGAGCGACTCCAGCGCGTTTGTCTTCTCCCAACTAGCTGGAACGAGTCCCCTTGCTAATTACCCCTCCTCGTCATGTTCCTGTGAATGTGCCAGCAAAGGCAGACTTGTTATCCTAAGGAAAATCCAGGACTGTTTTATAAATTGGTCAATTAGTTATCCTGCCTTTGAATTTTCCTATGATTAAAAAACCTGGGGATCTCTCTGCTTTAAAGACTTGAAAGGATTGCATTTTTTTTCTCTCATGAAGAGACACATAACATTGTGGTTTTATTTGTCATAGAAATGTTCTCAGTCTTAAGGTTTTTAATCCATTTAAAAACTCTATGTTCTGACTCCTAGGTGGAAGAATTGAACAATGAACTCAGAAATCAAGATAAAAAAATAGGAGATCTGACAGAAAAGCTAAATGCGCTTGAAGCTCAGGTAAAGTGAGAAAGGCACAYGCTAAACTTACACAATTCTGAGATCACAGGTACTTCTCTAAAATTGTTTCACCTGTTGGTGACTCAGCACGGCTTGCGCTAGCACTTCCAGTCCAGGCATAACATGCTGTTTCCCTTGTGGTGTTCCCTAGGGATGAATACCGGGAGCTATTTCCATTGCTGACCTGATGCAAAGGAAGGGCAGTTTTCTCTTTTTTTCCTTGTTTTTTTAAGCAGTCAACAGTTGTGTAGTAGGAAGGATAAACTTGTCTATGACTTAAATGTTGAATGATCCTAAGTGCCCAAGACTTGAGCATCACTTCCACTGCAGAAGGGGAGGTCACAACCCAGTGATTTGACTTTTTTCCAGGTTCTTGCTGTGATCCTGAGGTGAGAGGTCAGGCCTGGCCCCCTGCCCCTTAGGGAAGAGCAGCGTGGCCAGCTCAGGGGCATCATCGTGCACCACAGCCCATGGCCTGACATKAGGGGGTTCACATCTTTTTAGTAAAGATCCTTTGTTGAGCCCAGATCTGCTGCCTGAAGGCAGAGCAGGACTTGCGCAAACAGAGCGTTCCCTGCTCGCTTCCAGCACCTGCATCTCATACTGCACCTTAATGAAAATCTCACCCTTTTTGTCTCTGTGGTTATTTAGACAAACCCACTGCGCTCCTGCATTRAGGGACATCAGCAAAACACCCCGGCTTGGATTTTAGCCACAGCTGGGCTGTCCCCGTGGCCGCTTGGTGACGGGCAGCAGCTTAGGAGTTGGAAGCAGGAAGGAAGGGCAGGACTGTGGGGGATGCAAAGGCCGCAGAGCCAGGTCTGAACCCGTGCTTGGCAGCAGGGTTTAGCAGCGGGGTTTGAACACAGCAATGTGTGGCCAACCCTGTGGGTACCCATGCGCTCAGGCAGCATGAGCAGAGCATTTAACCGAACACAGACATGTGGAATTTGCAGTTTGTGTCTTCCCAGTTTCCCATCACTTCCAGGCCAGCCTTCTCCCTCTGGGGAGTCGAGTCTGTGTTCTTTGCCCACTTCCCTCCTACTGTTTCTTATTTAATTATTAGCAAAATTTGTAGTTGCCTGTCTTCRTGCATGGAAACATGGAAAATAGCTTAGTGAAGGGCCGACTTCTTTACGTCTTCCTGCAATTCATCCATTCTTTTGGTGTTGACTTTAACTAGTTTGGATTACATCTTGGTTACATGCTCCTCGCTGTGTTCAGCCTGTTCTTTTTGGTTATCYGCTGGGGCTGAATGAAACTCTAGCAAATTTCTCTTTGTATCCCGGTTGTGCTCTTGGTATCAGTGTAGGCCGGTGCTCCGGGTGCCTGTGTTTGCCTGGGGGGCACGAGCTGCTGCTCTGTTGGTGTCCGGCTTCCTGCCCGGGAATTGAGGGCTGTGGGGTCCAGTGCTGCATCCTGCAGGAGCCGCYGCTTCCAGACTCGCCCTGCTCCTCCTCGGCTACCTCGGTGCCTTGGCTGGTGATCCGGCCTCATTTCATCTGCTACATTATCCTGAAAAGGTTTCTTTTTTATTTCCTTGCAGAATAAGGAACTTAAAGAAAAGGTGGAATTATGGTCGGGCCAGTCGACGAGTAAAGTCTCCAAAGGGGTCGCAACAGAGTGAGTGTCTGGAAGGGCTGCTGGACGTGGGAACAGAGTGAGGCTCTCAGCTGAACTCGCTGCGGAGCTTGGGTTTGTTCTGCCCTGGTTGGAAGTAACCAGGCTCCATCCTCTGGGCACTGCTCCCCTTCCAAAGGAAAGGGTGGACACGGGCTTCCCTTCAGAGCCCCGAGCCAACACCTGGTGATGTGGGACACGCACGGCGTTGTGCCTCGCTTCACAGGAGCCCAGGGAGGCAGGCTGGGCTAAGTGGGAGGCTCATGCACCCACAGTGAGCCCGGAGAGCCAGTTCTGAGCAGGGGGAGCTCAATCTGGTCCAAGCTGTGTGGCCGACACCTCTGATCAGCATTACTGGGATTGCAGGGCCCGGCTGCACTGACCACAACTGGCTCTGTTTAAGGTTAGATGTTATTCTGTGCTTTGTTTTGCAGTACGCTGCGAAGCTTTGGAACATCGCCTTACTTGATGCTCACCAGGATGAGGAAGCAAGAAAGCTAGGTGAACAAAGGCACCTTTGTCTTTTTTTTAATTACTTGCTAAGTTTTGCTGGATGGGTTGCACTCCTACTAAACACCTGCMTCCTGTTTGCTCCTGCCCAGTACCTTGAGCCCTTGCTGCTGCTTTTGTGAAACCTGGTCCTGGGCTGCTGCTACGGAGCTGCCCATGGCAGAATAAACGTGGAAGCAAAGGTGGAGGTGCTGGAGGGAGAGGAGACCCAGGAACAGCCCCGGCACAGCCAGCACTGCTGCAGCTCCCCTGCTGCAGCTTGCAGCACGTGCTGAAGGACTCTGCCTATGCAGGCTGCAGCAAAGCATTGCATTAGGCTTTGTTGGGTTGTTTGCTTGTTTTTTTAATAATAAACTTTTAGATATTGTTACCTCCTTGCTGGTGCCGCTTTCTTACCTCGGGGCAAGGTGGAAGTGAAAGCTCCTGGCCAYGCAGGATGATGCTGAGGGGTCATGGGGCTTGATGGCAGCGAGTCCTCCGGCTCTGGGCCCCCCAGCTCTTCAAGGCCACTTTGCTGCGGGTTGGAGGGGCCCTCAGCAGCCCAGGCACCTGCACAGGAGCCTTGGGACAAGGAAGCTGCAGGACTTTGCTAGAGCCAGGCTCCTGCTCTTCTGCTCCTGCTGTGCCAATGGAGAGGGGGCTACCCCAGGCAGCTTAGACAGGGCCTTTATTTTCCTTTTTTTTTTTTTTTTTTTTTTTAAGTTTCCTTTGGCAGGTCTGAGCTTAGCTTTGCACCAAGGGAAAGCAGCGGCATCGACCTGGGCACAGGCCCTGTAAAGCAGGGCCGGGGCAGAGCGGCTCCTTTTCCCACTCGTGAGTGTGACAACCTCATTGCTATTCCCTAGGGAAGGGATGTTCTGCATCCCAGGAGACAAACCTTGGCCCCCACGGCAGCCTCCTGCAGGGAGGGGATAGTTGCCTGTTCCTAGTTTCTGATGCAGGGCAGCCCTAGGGCTGGGGGCCAAAAACAAAAACCCAGGAACTGCAGAGTATTTTTAATTGCATTTTTCATCTCACCAGCAGCACCAGTGGCCCTTCAAAAGGAGGGGGGCTGTTTAACCAAGACAGATACCCATGTCTTGCTTTGTGCTCTTTCCTACCTGCCTGCAGCTCCCTTATCCATGTACAGTGCAATGCGGCACCYGGGATTACGGAGCTGCTCCTGGGCAGCCATCACCACCACGAACGCATCAGCTGCAGCCTGGAGCAGCTCCGGGGGGTCTTTTACAGCAAAGCAAGGGRGAGAGGGGCAAGAAACTCACAGCTTGGCTTCCTGGCCCTGCGTCTCAGCAGCCRGGTAAACCTGTGCCTGGTTCTGCCGTGGCTTCCAACACGTTTCCCCCTCCCYTTCTCTGTGTCCGAGCTGGGCGCAGGGTCCCCTTCCTGCCCACACCTCCCCGTGTGCACGGGCCTGAACACGTCACCTCTCGGCAGCCCCTGCGCTTCATAGCCCCMTATAGCTCAATATCAGACACCTCCAGGCCAGCAACTCCGGAGGTAAAACCTGCTACCTTAAACTAGAGCCCTGGCCTGTTGCTAGTGGGTAGTTACCAAAATCACACCTAATGCAGCATTTATTGAAGTGTCTTACGTGGTCGGCTCCTCTACAGCCCTGATCCCCATCTGAGAGCTCTCTCCGGAGGCAGACGTTGAGGAAGCAGCTTTTAGCCTTGGGAAACCAGCCTACGGCAGCAGCTTTGGTGACGGCACCAGGGCTGCAGGTGCCTTTGGGTGCTGGGTGGAGCTCCACGTGCCTCAACCTCCATAAAACAAGAGCAGAGGCTGAAAGGGGGGAGCCCGACACTGCAGGGAGACGCTCCAGGCCCAGCACCGGCCAACACGGCTCCTGGTGACATTCCTACCACCTGGCAGTGGCTCCATCTYGCAGCGTTTCTTTCCTGAAAGACCCCCGGCTCTCCCTTTATGCTGGGACACCCTCCAGTTTTATTCTCTGGAGGAGGAGGAGCAGGAGCCAGGGAGGAAGCAGCACTGGGTGCTGCAGCTGCCGCAGGCTGCTCGGCGGGAGCGGATTCCAGGCGCGAGGTGCCAGAGGCAGCAGGAGCTGCGCCGGGACAGCAGGCAGCTCCTCCTCAGCACGAGAGCCCGCAGGGCCCGAACCGCAGTTCTGCGTTTGTCAGTCCACAGTCCTGCCAACCTGCCCAATTTAACTGAAATCTTCCTTAAAAAGTCACTCTTTCCCCTCCTGAGCGAGGGCAGCACGAGCAGCAGCCTCAGGCAGCAGCTACGGGCACAGAGCTGCRCTCTTACCCGAGCCTGCACGGATCCACACGCTATCCCACGACTGCCAAAATGATCCAGGTAAGATTTCCACAATGATCCTGCAATTTTAAGTGTAGGACTTCTCTATTTCTTCTGCTTGTCTTTGCTTGTGATGAGCCACGTGCTGGTTCATGGGGTTTCTTGTACGTGTCTGCAAAGGGCAGCCCCCACACATCACCCTCCTGCAGCAGCACACAAGAGGCTCCTGTTTGGCCCCAGAAGCACCTCAAGCTCCTGTGACACATTTCCAGCTCGAGCCACCCCTGCGGAGCCCGGTCCCCATCACCARGATTCCCTGCTGCCTCTTTTGGGAGGCACAAGGAAGTTTCTCCTGAATGTCCCAAGAGGCCTGCAGTGAATCGCTCCTCAGCTCTTCCCCTTGTCCCACCTGGGACACCCACTTATCTGAGGGAGAAAAGGATGGGTTCCTTATGTGAGGGAGGGGAAAAAAATTAGTATTTTTTGCTTACGGTGAGAGTTGTAAGAYGCTTCACAAAATCCAGCTTTCCTCTTTTTCCATCAAGGATGCTCCTCTCTTTCCAAACCATCCCTGCAGCGTGGGAACTGAACACTCGGGACCTCCTGCAGCTCTCCCATCCCTGCTTGGATTACTGGCAAGAACAGCGACAATTCCCGAGTGGATTTGTTCAAAATTAAATCTCCTCCTTCCCTCCCAGACCCCCGAAGTGACGCACGCTCCTCCCGCCCCCGTGAAGCTGAGCAGGCCGGCAGCACCGCTCGCTCTGCACGAAGAGGGAAGTTTTCCTAATGGGCCACATCAAATCTTTCATCCATCTCTGAAAATGCTGGTCCCTGACACAGAGCAAGAATTATAAAGAAATCATAAAGTGGCACAGACCTGGAACACCACCCACTGCTGTTTTAATTGCTTTGTCCCGTTTATATCGACCTCATATAATTCCTTCCCTCCTCTTTTAAAAAAATAAAGTCACTTTCTTCAATTCAGCATCTTGGATCATCAAGATAAGGGCTGGAGGGGACGGGAGTGGGAAGGGGAAGAGAAGCGGGCACAATTGTCACGAAAACGGCACCTATCAGGAGGAATCACCAACRCGAGCGCCTCACGGAGACCCAGCTTTCCATGTAGAAGCAGTTCTTTCTTCAGGGAGAAACGAACCCCAGCAGCAGGACGGCCCGGCGGCTCCGGGAGCATCCCGGCTCCCGGGAATGCCGTCCCGACGCTCTCCAGCCATGGCACGCGTCGCTCCCGGGCTAGCAGGCGCAGCGGGCGCCGCGCGGCGCCGGCGGCTCCGGGCCGGCCGTGCCCGCGCCGTTGGCGGCGCCCGGCGCCTTGTCCACGCACTGCTCCATGCGCTTCATGACCAGGTCRAGCAGGGCGCCCACGGCCTGCTCCACCGCCTGCCCCGTCGCCGCGCTCGTCTCCAGGTACGGGATGCTGCAGCGGGAACGGAAAGGCCCCGTGGGAACAGGCACTCCCGCGGCCACGAGTGAGAGCCCCGCGGTGCCAGCGACGCCTCGGGCGCTAGCAGAAGGAATTGGGCAGGTTGGGGCTTTGGGTTCACCTGGATTCTCCTCCCCTCCCGGCCAGGGCCAGAACTCCTGTTCCTGTGGCACAGTTATTGGGATAGACTCACTGAAAGGCTAATGGCAAAAGTTCCCCTGACGCTTGGAATAGTGGAGAGAATCGCTGGGSAATAGTGGAGAGACGCTGCGGGTGACCAGGAGCTCTGCTGGGCACAGCAGTGGTTGCAGAAGCTGCAGGGGAGAACTGCAGCAGTCCCCGGCACTGCAGCCAGCAGGAACTTGCTGCAAGTCCTCACACCTTTCCTGGACACTCCCTGGCCACAGAAGCTTCTCAGATCAGCGCAGTGTCTCACACGGGAGATTTCTCCGGGCGTCTGCTCATTGCAGCTGGTGAAGCCGAGCTTCCTCATTTAATATCACCAGAACTACCCTGCTCTTTAGCATGGGTCGMACTTTGGCTATTTGGCCCTCAGTGAAAGTGTGTCTAAGTGCAATTCAGCTTGGGTGGAGCTGTTCCCACTCTGCAATCCCAACTCAGTCTAAAACAGCACTTCCCAATTCTTCTTTTTCAGCAGGGAGGACTATCAATTGCTGCAGCCCTYCCATCATACAAAGCTCTGTTCTCCTCAGCATCTCTGGGTTTATAAGGACACTTGTGACTGCCTCTAGACAGCCATTACCTACACTCACCATTGTTATTAACTAAATTTAGCATCTCCCTTAATTCGCTTACCCGTATTTGTCCGCCAGGTCTTTCGCTTGCCTTTCGTTCACCTCCCTCTGGTCTGACAGATCAGCCTTATTCCCGATCAACACGATATCGGGATTCTCGCAGTATGCGTTGGCTTGCAGCTGACCTAGAAGGAAAAATAAACTGAAGCTTAGAGTGTGCTGGAAATTCCTGAAAGCCTAAGTATTTATGACYAAAGACACCCAAAGCAATTCTCTTTCCTCCTGCCCACCTTGAAATACCCCAGGCTAAGGAACCACTTCTCACCAAACACATTTCTCTGCCACACATTATGCATTAAGCACCCTCAGCTGAACACAACCTTGGCAATGTAGCCTGCGTTCCGCTTTTAGCCCATCCCTCATCCCAAGAGAAGCGGCCAGTGGCTGCAGACGCAATCCCAGGATTCCATGTACGGGGTTCCTGGAAGCAGCAYGGGCCCCTCCGAGGGCAATGACACGTTTGGCTGCTCAGGGCCTGCGAGCAAACSCTGTGCAGCCTTCCCAGCAAAGTCCTCAGCGCCCAATTTTAACGGAGCCTCAGGGCAGACAGGGAGGAATCGCATCCTGCTTTAATAATACAACACTCAGCACAGAGCTAACAGCAAGAACAGCTGCCAAGCTCCTGTGCCTTGCCTCAAACGTGGGCTATGCTCAAGGAAGTGAAAACTGCCAGATTTGGAAGAGGTCACAGATGCGGTGGGTTGTGCAAAGCCCAGACAAGAAGACCAAGCACATGCCCAAACTAACACACCATGCAACAGAAAGGATGCACAYGTCCCACATCTGGTGAGGCTTTTACCCGAAGACACAGGTCTGCCCTGGCCAGGACGATCTGGTGCAGCACAGTAAGTACTAAGGGCAATGACTGTCCTTCCATCTACTTGTGGTTTCAGGATGCAACCCAACAGGTCATCTCAGGAGCACCCCAAAAGCCAGCAGGAGCCAGCGTGGTTCGCAGCACCCAGGCTGCGAGCACCTCATTTACAGCAACACTCCAGAGAAACACTTTGTTCGACTGGCTTTAAAACCACGACATGCACAAGGACACCTAGCAGCCTAAAACCCTCGAGGAAGCCTCAAGCCAACCAGTGCAGGCAAAGCTCTACAGCTCTACTTACTCATCCAATTTCTGACATTTAAGAAGCTCTGTTGACTGGTGAGATCAAACATGAGCAGAAAGCCCATGGCGTCTCTGAAGAACGCTGTGGTAAGGCTCCGAAACCTGCAGGAAGGAAAGAGGAGGAGGCAGGACAGCTCTGTTAATACAAACGGAGCTCTAGCATTCGAGGTAACATATTTTTGGCAAGTCTTAATTGAGCAAAGGAAAATGAGAGATAGTGCAAAGCTTTTCTGAGTCATTTGTGCAAAAATTCCATTAAACTACCTTGAAATATGAAGAGTCTGTGTGATTTAGTGGATATATGTTCCCATGGAAGCAAAATCCATGACCTTCATCTTCGCTATGATGTATCACATCACTGGATAACTCTTAATCACAGTGTTAGTAATCTACCAGGGGAAGCTTCTATGTGAAAACATAAACAGTGCTGGTGACTAATCTAATGGTTCAAATCCTGCCTGTCTGATTTAACCGAAGAAAAAACCCCAGAGAGGGGAGAATAAAAGAGAATCGAGAAAAGATGCAGGAAGCATTTAGCGCATCACAGATCACAGTGACAGCAAAGGGTCCCACTGCTGTGGTGACACACACTTACCCATGGATGCACATTGCCTAATACAGCAAGAACTAAAGAAGATGGCAAAGGAAGAGGAGCTGGCTGCTTCTGASTGTGCAGGGCGACTGTTTGCAGGGAAACTCAGTTAGAAGGGGAGATAACCTTGTTTTCAGGGTGCACATGCACTCTGCAAACAGACCTGAGCAAAGCATTTAATAAGGCTGCATTTACAACTGTATGATTTATAGGCTTCTTACAAAGCCAGGAAAGCAGGTGAAACTACAGACCGTGCAACTACAACCTCGTTTGCACCCAGGTCGCAAACCTCTTCAAATTAAGACAAAATCTAAATAACACAAGACTTTCACAGAGTGCTTGCAGACTGTACAACAGTCTACACTCTTTTCATATATATTTTTTATATATTACAGCAATCAATCACCTCGCAAAACATGCCCATGTGACATGACCACGTGCAACCAATTTTGCACAGTCTAACAAAAATCAGGAGCTGTAATTGATATTTTACTCCACAAATCCCTGAAAATTAGRACAAAAGCAGGTCAGATATCTGACACACACTTTTAGGCTTTTCTTCCCAAAACAAAACCAGTCTCTAAATGTTAAACCTGAGCTTGCTTCTTTGTGTGCACACAAGCAGTGCTTGAACACTGCCAAGAGATGGGACCTGTGTTTAAGTCTCCTTAAGGCCACGGGTGACACAGGAGTGACACGGGGCAAGCGCACACGCTCTGCGAGAGCAAAGGCCAGTGCRCTGGATTGCACAGAGCCACGGGGGACACCTAGGAAAACGCGATAGGCAGTCTGCCCTTTAAAGGATAATGGAGGATCAAAAAAACAGGAGAATGGGATAGTTCGTCCCTTCCAGATGGGATTAAAAACATATTCTAAAGCCCAAAAAAACAGGACAAAACAGAAAACCCCAATGAACCGATGACCCACATGTGCTGGAAGTGAGAGCTGTGCTGAGGCCATGAACAGACGGATTTAAACTCCTTCCAGCCCCATCTTCTGAGATGCTCTGACCACCATAACAAAGCCATGGCTGGGAAACTTGGCTTCTGACATATATGTTTGTCGCCCCAAAATAGCATGGTTTTTTCATTTTTTATCTCTCAAAATGCCCAGGGGTTTATTCAGAAAGGCAAAAACCTTGAGTTCCCACGAGCTGTGCAGGCTGAGCTGGTTACCTTTCCTGCCCAGCAGTGTCCCACAGCTGCAGATGCACCTTGAAGGCCTTCCCTGGGGATCCGTTTGGGCTCCTCGTGCTGTACACCTGCAGAGAGACACAGATCTGAACCTGCAGCACGGCCTTTTTTTTTGTAATTTCTGCAGAACCGAGCAACAAATCCCATCCCTAACGCAAAGCTGAGCCTTAATACTAAAAGCCACTTCAGAAGGAGGCTTGCAATAACCCTTAAAAACCCAGAAGCCAGTGAACTGTCCTCAAAAGCTGCCCTTTAAAGATAACTTGGCCACATGCAGCGCTTGAGATGAGATGCAGTTCTGTACAAGTCAGTGTACCAGCATGAGGAGCAAGGTTTCCGCATTCGCTCCATTGCTGGTCTCACTAATTCCACAGGGACTGACAGGATGAACCTCTACTAAAGAGAAAAAAAAATCCTTTTTCTTCATTAATTTCTGTTCAACATTAACGACTTCTTTACTACCTGGGCCTGCCAACCTCTGGCACTGGGAATCTCAAAGAGTCACTTTTTGAAGCGACTTTAACACAACAGAAATCCACGCATTTAACCTTTAAAATCTCTTCCTCAAGAGGAAGTCCTTTTTTTCCAGTAGACCCTTGGGATGTTTCAAAGCTGGTAATTTCACATAAGATGGTTTATCCTACTCTTATCAAGCCTCCTACGCCAAAAATACATTGTAAATGGGAAAATTACCAAAGAAATTTGACAGCAGCCTTTAGCAGAGCAGCTCAGCGCTGCTGGATGAGGCAGGGTCCACGTTCAGSCACTTCACCGAGCTCTGAGCAGCCAGGGAAGGAGCTCTCCAGCAACGAGCGTGTTCAGACATTTGCTCACAATAAAAATCTACATCAATATTTTACTCTCATGACCTCAATGGAACTTAATAGCGAGGAGAATGAAGCAGTTTCCAACCTGTGCATCACATTTAACTAGTCTGGGCTTACATAACACTGAATCTGAGTAGTCTAACACAATATCCAGATCCAAGGGTCTCTCATTCCACCTAAGGCCTTGTGATTAATTTTCTAATGCTGCAGAACTACAACCACTGCATTTTAACTGGCAGCATCCCTAGGGACCTGAACACACCAATATACATCCCGATCAGAGTATACGCAGATCTGCTGACACATGGGGCCAAGAAACACATAAATTGCACCCAAACCCTCCAGAGGGTTGCCGTTGCCAAAGACGTTTGTTTTTAGTTGACTATTTCAAAATGGGAAAACATTTTAATAAGAAACATTGGGAATGGCTTATAGGTCTTGCTGTAACCTGGCGAAGGGCTGAAAAGTGGTTTTTCTACATGGTTTTCTTCAAAGTAAATGGCACAAAGTTGTGTCAGATCCACAGAGCTGCTCCTGGGTAAAAAGCTTAGCTTTGACCACGACTCCAGCCCAGGCCAGGCTCTGCACAAGCAGTGGCTCTTGCACCAGTCGAGCCCTGTCTGCAGGGTCAAGACCTAGCGTGCGTCTCACGCAAACTCCTGTGAAATACTTCAGGAATCCAACAAGAAGGCAGTTTAAACAGGTCCCTGTCTTTCAGCTGGGCAAATATGCACAGCKTCCATCAAGGAAATGTCTGCAAGCATCGTCCAGACTCTAATAKCTTGTATTTATTACACGTTTACTACTTAAGCAAAATACAATTGCTACTATTAGAAAGTTGATTTTATACCCTATATCCATCTATACYCTATATATTTATATATTATTTATATATATTTATACCCTACATCTATATCTATCTTGCATCTAGCCAAAAACTTGATCAGAAAAATCATTATTAACATATGCATTATCCTACAATAAGAGAAGTAGCATGCTCTTTTTTTTTTCCTCAGCAATAACAAATTAAAAAAAAAAAAAAGACTGATATTATTCGTATGAGACAACTTACCACTCGTTTTTCCCGGAAATCTATGCCTACCGTCGTGATGAATTTTGGATTAAACTTGTTATCGGTGTATCTGTACAGGAATGTCGTTTTTCCAACCCCAGAGTCCCCGAGGGCCAGGAGTTTGATCAGGTAATCATAGTCTCCATCAGTCATAGTGCTAACTTTCAGGAACCTATACAAAGAATAGGAAAAAAAAAAAAAAAAGGATTTAATTAAAATAACAAACAAAACAAACAGACTCTTGTTTGTCTTCCCTTCATTTAGATTTTTGTCCATTGAAATGCTTCTGCATGTGATCCAGGTTGCATGTTGTGTTTGTGTAATCACATTCCTTTAGGCTGTGATTTTCTGAAAAGGATCTAAAATTATGGTGTCACCAAAAAACACATGCRAAGTCCACTGCAAAGTACTGGGGGAGAGGACGGGAATCACAGAGAAAAGGTGAAAATTGTGTCACCATTTGGCACCACCAAAGGACAGCAGCGGCCGACAGGCCAGACCCCAAAGGGATTCCAGAAATTCTGCTCTCTACAAGAACTCTTTTCTTATTGCAAAGGCAATATTTCCATTCCAATTTGATAACATACCAATTTAATTRCTCCTTCCCCCACCTTCAAGCCACACAAAATTTGAGCCAGACTCCTCACTGCAAAAAATTCACCTCATGTTTACCCACGTCCAGCCTTCTGCAACTGAACCGGGGCCAAATTCACCCTTTGGATGAAGTTTGGGCAGGTCAGGGCTGACATTTCAAGTGGCAGCAACAGGAGCAGGGGTCCAGACAGAGCCCTTAAGGAAGGGTCCATCCAAGCCACCTCGATCCCCGCTTTCCGTGCATCTCCAATAACAGGTCTCGCACACTTCCCAAACTGTCTTGCCGAATCCYGCAGGAGGCACCCAGCCCCACGGCACCCCCGGGAAGGTGCTAAYTGGAGAGGRAGGAGGAGGAGGAGGAGCAGATGGCAGCACCACGGCGTRGGCTCAACCCCGGCCCCCGGGACATTGCTGTTTCCATCGCCACTCGACCGCAATCTCTACGCAAAAGTCCATYGGATACAGCCAGCAGCCTCGAAGAGTAAGGAATGTCCTCATTTACACGCCTCCTAGAGCAATTTTAGGCTGTTCTCCACATGCAGCACTAAACCGGAGTGGCCAAGCCAGCCTTACTAAGCGCTTGTGAAATGAACCCACGCTCCGGGTAGCACAAACCCTTCCTCCCTAACCAACACTGTGGTTAGCAGCAGCATCCCGCAGGAGGTTTCAAACTCGACCAGCAAGGTGCTCTCCTGGTGAAAAAGAAGAGGCAGAAACCAACCAGGCAAACCCCAACCAGCTCTCAGGTGGTAAAGGCTGCTCTGCTTCGCAAACAGCAGCGAACCACAACTTCTTCACCCTCGTCCCTCCCAACGAGCCACTCACCGTTGCTTCCAGCAAACCCTGAGCTCCTTCCGACCCCAACCCTCTCCATACTTTCACGTCATTGTACTACATTTGTGCCAATACACGTCYTGAATTTCCATCAGAATAGCATCATCTTCTTGGGTGTCTAAATTGGCAAGTACTGAGTGGCTTTGACAAAAACAGACAACCAAGCCCATTTTGACCATCCTSTACTTCAGCAGCTCCAAGGCTACAGCACTGGTATCCTCAAAAGAGGGTCACCAACACAGGCAGGACAAGCCTTGGGCCGCTCATCTCTCCATCCAGAGTCCAAGTCTTCCACCGAGAACACATCTAACCCCATCTAAACTTGTTTCTAAGTGTGTCTGTAATTAACCRAGTCTGACATTTCTGGATGTTTCTGTTTGCCTTAGGACAGATGTTAACTTAAATAATATGTGCAACCATACCCCACAATGTTGGGAGTAAAGCTAGGTTCTTAAATGAAGTAGGTTTGTTTGTTTGTTTTTTTCTTAAAGAAAACCAAATTAGTTCACAACAATTTCTTTTAGTGAAAATCTGCAAAACACGCCAATATTTTCTATTGAAAAGTTAGTAACAAGGGATTTTAAGTTAAAAAACATATACTTTCTTGTACTCAACTCTGATTTTCAATGTCTCGATAGATGAAGTTACTGCAGAGAACTATCCCTGGGGCCAAGCYGACCTGGAAGTCCACCGGGGTGGTGGATCTCTTCTTCCAAGCTGCCAAACAGGATTTTCTTCCTCTTCTAGGCTGGAAGGAAGCGACTAGAAGTCATGGAGAGCAGAGGCTCCCTGGGACGGCTCAGGGAGGCTCCTCCTGACTGGAACAGCAGCATCAGACACGTGGGTGACCACAGACRGGAGGAGAACGTGGCAGGCGATGAACTCCCCCTTCAGTGTATGGRTTATCCCCAGCCAAGGGTGCTCTCCTCCACTGAGGACCATCCTCATGCAGAGAAGGTCCCCAATCGAAACCCCCCTGGTTTTGCTGTCTCGGCAGTTAAGAGATTGCCATCTAGGCCAGAGGCAGCCTCTGGCTTCCCCATCGATTATTCTGTTCCACCCCAGCGTAACGTTCTCTAACTACAGCCCAAGAGATCCCTCACAACGCGGCCCTTGCCAGGAGACCGTCATGGTGCCGAGCACCACAAACACGGTCGCCCAAAGCAACACGTAGGAGTTTCGCTGAGGTTTCTAACTCAGTTTTTATCAGTAAGCATTCTCCTTTGGCACCATGAATCAAAGAGAAAGCTATTATTGCTCCTTTGAAGGAAATCACTCGTGCTTCAAGACAGCATTGGACTGATTCAAGGGCAGGTTCACTTCACGCATGTCCTGGAAGTCCCACCTCAGACCATGGAAATGGATGGAGAGGAGGACAGTTGAGACCTTGGTTTCCTTCTTCCATGTGCAGCCTGTTCCTTAAAAACAGGGAATTTGGTAATTAACTGAAATCTAAATTGCTCTCAAAAAAAAAAAAAAAAAAAAAAATTTCCACTGGGAACAAACTGAAGCCTGTGGAAAAATGGCTTCAATTCAGAAATCCCTTTTCATTTCAAGATGTTTAGATGTGTATCAAAAACAGAGCAAACTAAAATTGTGGTAAACCTGACTTAACAACATGGCACGATAGACTTGCTTTTATGCTCTCAGAATTTGGGGAAGATTGTGTAAAGAAAAACGTTCAAACTTCCAAGCGTCCAACTTCACAGATTTGCATCTTTAAAGAAAGTTCCCCTAATCAAAGGCGCTACCCACCAGACGCTGCCATAAAGCATTTGCTCATTAACGGGGAGAAAAGGAGGACATCCCCACATTTCCATAAATCGCCCAGGGGGCTATCATCAAGGAAAAGCTACGCTCCGGAGGGAAAAGTCAGACCCAGAAACAAGACATTATGTCCCCTGACACACTATTAGTTAAAAGCCCAACAAACCAAACCGCTGCCTAAAGAGCAGGAGCGGTGGGAAGCGCYGGATGCAAAGGGCACGCACGTGGGGCCCCAGCAGCTGCTCAGCAAGAGCCATCTCCTCTGCTGCACAGCCACCACGATCCAGCTAAGCTTTAAAAAATACAGGGAAATTAAAGCTAAAAAGTCCAATACAAACGTGATATGAAGGTAAAATGCTGCATTATTCCCAGCTCCATCTATGCTCCCTCAAAAATCATGCAGGCTGAAGCAGAAAGACTTGCTTACATCAACCTGGAAGAGCTTCTTGGTCCTTGAAATTCTTCAGCTATATCCTTTAAATAGAAATGCAACGTTGTGCAATGCTATCAGAAAACCTCCTCCAGCCTTTTTTTTTTGTAGGAATACTAGAAAAACTTCCTTTTCCCAGATTTTCTTTTCTTCTCAAGCTCTGCACTGGTATTTACAGCATGGATACTGCACTAGAATATACCAGAATATCCAGGAAAAAAAATAGCTACTGGAAGGAAAAAAACAAAAAAGGCAAAAAAGAACATCATAAAACACTAAAAAGGCTGCCTGTATATGAGGTAAATCTGTCCCTACCTCCCCACAGCAGGGAGAACTCATGAGATCCCTGCCACATGCCACACTTCCCATATCCACAGGCAGGGCAACCAGACCTTCCAGCTGCAGGACCAGTTTCATGCTAATTAAAGCAATTTTAACCACACTCCCCCAGTGTCCTTCTCTGCTCCATCCGCCTTGATCACTAACTTCTGCTTGCCCCCTCCACCTTGCAAAACAAAAGCCTCCAAAGCCCAGAATCCCAGGATGGTTGGGGTTGGAAGGGACCTCTCGGGAACAACCAGTTTAGCCCCCTGCTCCAGCAGGGACACCCAGAGCTCGGGGCACCCGCTCACATCCCGGCGGGTTGGCAGATCTGCAGAGCAGGAGCCTCCGCAGCCTCCCTGGGCAGCCTGGGCCAGGGCTGGGCACCCTCACCCCAAACAAGCTCTTCCTCACGGCCACATGGAGCTGCCTGGGCTCCAACTGGGACCACTGCCCCTTGTCCTGGCATCGGCCACCACCAAGAAGAGTTTGGCCTCTTCCTCCCTACATTCCCCCTTCAGATATTTATATATATTGGTCAGATCCCCTCTCAGCCTTCCCTTCTCCAGGCTAAATAATCCATGACCGTTTTGCTGGGGCGATGTTTGTCACCTAAGGAGTTTCCCGGACACGGCTCYGCACCGACCGGGTTATCAACATCATTAAGTCAGTCATGTCAAACAGCCCCGTCCTTGCAGGAAGGAGCCGCAGGAAAGCGGGAAACACAAAGCTGAAGGACAGAGGATTCAATTCCCAAGCGCGTTCCCAGAACGCAGCCTCTCAAACACATTGTGAGCAAGAGAAACAGGCAGCACGTAGGAAAGAGGATGAAAATATCCAGCAACACCAGCCTCGTGCTACCCTTCGCCTGCAATCAGCTGCCAAGAACATGGCCCGCAATGAGCCAAACATTTTTTCTTCTCAAAAGCAAACAACTTGCTGGATTTAAACCAGGATGCAACTGGAGCTGGCTTTTCTATGCAAAAATCAGGCCTACGTAACCATTTCCACGCAGGGGCAGCGAGGACACAGCGTGCAAAGGCACAGGATCTGCGTGAGAGCAAAGGTACCGCTCGCACACGTGCAGCTAACAGCCGTGGTGAGGAAATTTGGGGAATTTCCCCGAATTTTAGCAAGCCGGGGCCCCCTCTGGCGCAGGGAAGGGCGCTGTGACTGCGGCACAGGCCACCTTCCCAACGCACTTGCAACGTTCAGAGACGGGAGCAGAGCAGCGACACAAAAGCCCGTTGCAAGGTGCTCCTGCACCGACTCCTTCCCACCCCATCGCTGAACGGCCAGATTATTATCCAGCCGCTCAGGGGACAACGATTACTCAGGACGCAGCACAAAAGGTGCTCTAAGCTACTCCAACCTGTCTCGCTGTCGGACCAGGCACCGGCCGCTTTGGGGTGCCGTTTTCCGGGGGATCCTTCCGTTGCAGCCCAGCGGCAGCTCCAGCGGCRCCGCGCCTGGCCCCRGGCACCCGGAACAGCCACGTTTGCACTGCAGGGCGAGGAGCCGCTCACTCATTCTCCAGTGCGAGCGGAGATGAAAAGCAAACACACGGCAAAAATAAAGAGGGGAAAAAGCAAAGACAGCGAATACCTAAAGACCTCACCCAGCTGCTTCCAGAAGCTCTTATTTAAAAAAAAAAAAAAAAAAAATGCCTTTACCAAAAAAAACCCCCAAAAAAAAAAAAAAAAAATGGTGCCTTTTTACCACTAGGGCAAACACATGGTAGGAGGTTACTTATTCCATGAGGGACCATGTAAACCCCCCTGTATTTCATCCTTTCAAGAACATGCCTGGCAAGAACAAGAATTGTCCCTGGGCTGACTGCACCACTGCATTTACCACCTAACCCTGCCCAATGTACTCCAGGGGCAACATAAATACAGCTGTGGGCTAGAAAATAACCTGGAAAACATCCACGCAAGCCTTTGCATACGAGCAATGTATGCATTGCTTTACAGTGTGTTACATACCGGGTTATACAAGCCCACAAACCTCTGGAAAAGGCAGCAGGAGCCACCACCGTGAATAATCCAGATGATAAACTCCCCAGTCCTTTGTTCCCACTTGGAAGCGAGCGCAGGCACCAGCCGGATCCTCAGGAATGCTTTCCAAGGGAGGAAGCGGAGTGCACGGAGCAGATCTCGTGTAACATATAGAGTCGTCCRGGCACCTGCGACGGGAGTGTGGAGCCGTGCAGGGATGAACCCGGCCAGGGCGTCCCCGCACGCAGGAGGGTGACGGTGCCGCCGGYGCAGCACAAGGTCCCTTCCCACCGTCCCAACACGCTCCGACTTGCCGCAAATTCCAAGAGCGCCTTTGAGCAGCTCTTCACTGACCCTCTAGACCTCCTCTGCTCATTTGAAGGCAAGCAAAAGCCACCAGCCGTTATGCTACTTATCTGCCTGTGTGTCAGGGGAGAAAAAAAATAAATGCTATGAAAATKTATGAGCTAATATAGTTATCTGCAAGACATGAACTGGCTTAGACTTCCCCTTTAACTGCAGCAACAAGATATCATTATCCGCACTTCATCTCTCCCTGACCTTATCAAATTCATGTTTCGAATCCAAAACTCATCATAAACGTTCTGCAAACCTCCGACAAAAGGCAGCCAACGCCACGACGCGCACGGCTGCTACGCTGCCTTTCATTACCATATTTCTCCAGATCGCTATTTAAATTTAGGAACCCTGATATGCTGGTGAAGACTCCCAACTGGATGACTCCCTCTGAAAGCCCTGAACGTTTGCCAGCTCCTTGTGTTTTTTATAACACCACGCTTCTCCCCGCATGCATGAACCGCTATGTGTGACCAACAGCTACCGACGGAATAAAGAGCAAGCGGGAAGTCAACTCCCCATCTCGGAAAGCCCGTCTGGAAGCTGGGTCCAGGTCCTCACACGGTGTGAAATAGCATTGCTCCACTGCCAGAAACGGAGCTGGGCTGTTTCGCAGCTACTTAGCGCAAAGGTTCACCGACAAAGCTCAATTTTATTATTAGAGATTCTTTTTAATGTCCTTTCTAACATAATTTTGAAAGCAGCAGGGGAACACAGGGCTGAACATGATCAGCCAGGGGACGTCTCTAGCACTCAAATTGATCGCCAAACAAAACCAAACCTGCCTTTTGGAGCACCTCCATAAAGAAGGACGCACTGTGAAGCCCCGTGCAGGGGTAGGGCTAGGGAGACTTCTGCTCTGTGCTGCCTCCAGGCTAGGGCTATCTACAATAGAGGAAAAAAAATAGATTAAAGAAACAGGCATATTGGTGAGTCAGAATGGGTCAGAGCTGTCAGATCTTCCTTTCCAAAATAACTTCTGAAATGCAGGAGAAAAGAACACGGTTCCACTTTAGAACTGAATTTAGGGATGGAAAAAAAAGAAAGACAAGGGTTTTGGAGATGGCCAGAGCCAATCCCACTGAAAACGTCCTCTGAGGCTACGGTGGCAGCCAATAGTTTCCTCGTGCAGGAGGAACCGCAAGGCCGAAGCTGAAGCCACAGCCAAGCTGAGGGCTCCAGAGGCCGAGCTCCTGCTCCGGGCAGGCAGAGGACACTTCCCACACCGCAGAAGGGACAAGCCTCCTCACGTGCGGGCGAAGCGCTGCGATGGGCGCAGAACGGGAGCCTGCAAAGCCAAGAGCAGCCTCAGCCATCACAGTGAGCACTAAGGGGGGTCGCTAAGTTATTTCTATGCAGCAGCCAACTCCTGCTTCCTTTAGCACGGGGAGAAGCAGCCCCACTAGCCAGCAGAACAAGGGGTCGTTCCTGGAGCAGCAACCACGTTGCCTTGGGAAGAAGGAGGCCTCCCAAAGCTTACACAGCAACCAGTATTGGAGCCACAGGGCGAGTGCTGCCATGTGCAGGTCTTACCAGCCAAAGATGAAGAGCATTCCTGCAAGGCAGAAGGTCCTTCTAACAGCCGTGTCCTTCCTCAGAAAACAGTTAGGACCTAATCTGAGCTATCACAGATGTTGATTGACTGTTCCCTACTTCTGCCGTGCTTAAATTGCACCAAGGAGATTTCATTTGCACTTACAGAACAAGGTTCCYAGCAAAGCTCAGGGGACTCTGTCAAACCCACCATGGAAGGTCTTCCAAAGGCTGGCAAAACACAGGTAGGACACAGCTGACCCTGCTCGGGACAGACCAGGGACTCACGTTCTCCTGACGTCCTCAGCCTGGTCTGCTCCCCACTACCCAACTTCTTGTAAAGCAAAGCCAACTGCTGCAGCCTTTCCTATGCTCTTAATGCAGAGGGAAAGGAAGAGTCCTGGCATAACTGGGAAAAAAAAAGGATTTTTATTCCATGCTGCTTAGGACAGACTTGGAGAGCTCGTAGCACTTTGTTCCTTTAAACAATAGCTGCAGGAACAATGGTAAAGCACAATAGTCATCGACCTGTCCCTCGCTATGTTAAAGCGGATTTACATTCCCTGTACCATTCTGTTTAAATAAAAATGTACAACAGAGATCAAAACAGCCTGGCTTGTCAAATCACCTGATCCTATTTATCATGGCTCTTTAAGGACCGTCAATGGTAAAGAAGGTTTCTGGAGATAGAAAGTCATCAGTTCTAATACAGCAGTGGCTTTTAAATGCTGAAATCGCAGCCTTTGAAGCGGGGAATTATTCTTTCTTTGTACCAYGGACAATCTTATGTGAACACTGAAGCAATCTGATTACTCCATGAAAGGTTTTAGGAATTTAGGCTATGTCTATTGTGCTGCTAAGACAAGCCTGATCCAAGACCACGGGCCCGCGGATTGCACCAGGACAGGGCAGGCCGAATCCAGAAAAATTCCCAAATYTTCCCATCTGCTGCTTCTTTCTCTGTGCCCCAAGGAAGAAGACTCATTTGTTCAATGTTACTCCAACCTACCTCCATGCGGGATGATCAGCCAATGCATGCTGATCCCTGGGAATTCCCTGGGAATCATCTGCTGATCCCTAGGAATATGCCTGCTCCTTGACACTTGACAGGGAAGAGAAATCCAAAAGTTCTTTTCCTAATGCGAAATTTCAAGACTGCACGATAGAGGATTAATCCCTCCAGAGAATTACTTGTTGCCTGATCAAATTCCTGAATTCTGGACCACAGGAGCTTTCGGTACTTCCCTGC